AAAGAGTACAGTAATTGTTCATAAATTGTTCAGAATTAATGAGTGAATAATATATTCTCAGATCTGGTTATATTAATCTCAAGTTTATTGATCACATATTCGTTGCAATTGTGTTTTAATGTCATTAAAAAATTATAGTATTTATTGGAAGTGATTTCAATGTGTTTTGCATAAAATCGATTTAAAAGTTAATTAAATATGCAATTATTGAGTAAATATTATGTTAATTCTTAAACCGGTATATCATAGATAATTGTGAACTGAATTAACATTTAAAAAATGCATAATTCGTTAACAAAGAGTATAACAATAAGTATTAAATTAAAGCTAAAACCATAACCTAATAATCAAATTCAAAACGATATAACAAAATATCAAAGAAAAACAAAAACAAAAAATCAAAACAAAACTTATTTCACTTTTCGTCTATTATTATCGGACTTTGCTTTCGCTGTCGGCACTGGAAAAGGGATACAAAATAAATGAGATTTACTTTTCAAACGCATATCAATAGTTGCATAGAGAGTACCGGTGCCCCAGAATGTGGTGTTGATATACGAGCCCACGTAGAAGAACGACATTATAAGAGAGGCACTGCCGGCGAAGAATGCCCCTCTGGACGGCCAGTTCAGCACTTCCAGTATGCCGTACACCCAGTGACCCGTTTGCATAGCGATGAATAGAGTCCACAGCAAGTATGCGATCACTACTATCAGCAGTAGGTGTGGGTATGAAGTGCGAGGACCACGACTGGCCGACTGATGGCATACCAGATACGACTCCAACAGGAGAACCGGCAAAACAATTGTGTGCTTTCAATGCAAATCATATGTAAGGTTAACACATGTGATGACAGGTTTGCGTGAATTAGTGAACTGACTGTCGTGTGGTTCAGCCAAACGGGATACCACTTCTCGATGCCGGTCGGGAATATGAGTTCCCTGTCCACCGCGTAGATCCCCCAGAAGCTGATCACCACAAACTGTGCGACAATCAAGTGGTCAGAGGTATGCAAAAGAGGTGACCAATACTTACGATCCCTACGGGAAGCGCCAGACTATTGAAGACAATGTCCCGCAGTCTCGCAATCTGTGAAGACTTGGATTGAGTGCTAAGTATGTCAGACAACAGACACAACGAGAACGCAATGAATTGAAGCCACTGTTGGGTTAACAGAAGACAGTTCTTAAGCCATGAATGCCATCAACACATGAAATACAAACCAAATCCCAAAACGTCAGGTATTTATATCTCCATCCAATGGCTCCCTTCGGGTTCTTCGTCGGTATATCCGGGTTAGTGTAACACCAGTACAGGGAATAGCCGTAGACTATAGTGGCCGACATGTGCACCAACACAGACAACACGTACGAGCGGACCATCGCTGGCATCACTGGCGGGAAGCGATCCAAAGAGACACTAAAAGACGGACACAATCGGAGCACCGCTTCTCCACTCAAAGCCTTCAATCAATCAATGCTTTTGTGTTTCATTAGTCTTATCGACAAACGGGTTATCAATGATTGCATTCAATGTCATATCAGATGCGGTCATCACACGAGACATCAATTACGTCCGCATCCAAGACATCAGTTCAAGACATTCATCCGTTTCGCATGAATCTCAGGCTTCAAAGTAACGGCACTTCCCTTCAAATGAAACATCTTTTATGTGTCGCCCGTTAAGCGCCAAACACTGGCTTTGAATTGCTGTCAAAGTTGTCAACAAAAACATTGCATTTGTTTTGATTCACAACTTTGACAGACAGTCAACACATGTGACCAACAGGTGATCACCACTTGTGTCAACACATGTGGACCTGTTTGTCGTGATTATGCATCTAATTAGCCACACATTGACAGTCAAGTGATGCCAAACTTACCAGAGTTGGCCGCAATTGACCACAAATTTAATATTGATATCTGTATTAAGTCTTATGATAAATGCAATGTTTGACTACCATTTCATGGATCCTCTCGTGGTTTACCACTATTTGAGACATTTTGTGTCCATAAGATTGGATCAAATGTGAAACTAAATGATAACTTATGTAACAAACAATGAAAACTCAGTTTTTGTATATCTATTATAACTTTATTTTTATTTCATTTCAATTTTTATAAACGATTTATTAGTTTTGCTTTTGTCTGACATTTATTTCTCAATCGATTTATTTGTTTTTCATTTGAAAATTCATTTGTGTATTGAATTGAAGATCTCTTTTAGAAAGAAATGAAAGAAACGGATGAATCGGTTGTAGAAAAGAGTGGATTTGAATGACTGTTGAAATCGTCGGACAAGTCGTTCACGACTTACGAGACGAGTGTTGAGTTTGCGATGAAATATGAGTTGAGTTTTGAGACAATTGAGTGTCAGTTGAGAACTGATGGCCGAAAACGTAAGTAATTGTAAGTAATATACAAACGAAACGCCAATAAAACGGTTATAAATATAATTATATTATAAAAACATAAAACAATTTGTCGTTTATTTCATAAGTAATGAGGATTTTGTTTGTTTCGAAAAAAGGCACAAAAACACCACATTTTCTCTAACCATTCAAATGTTAATCTCTTTCATTGTTTAGTCGTTTTGTTTCGNTTACATATGATTTGCATTGAAAGCACACAATTGTTTTGCCGGTTCTCCTGTTGGAGTCGTATCTGGTATGCCATCAGTCGGCCAGTCGTGGTCCTCGCACTTCATACCCACACCTACTGCTGATAGTAGTGATCGCATACTTGCTGTGGACTCTATTCATCGCTATGCAAACGGGTCACTGGGTGTACGGCATACTGGAAGTGCTGAACTGGCCGTCCAGAGGGGCATTCTTCGCCGGCAGTGCCTCTCTTATAATGTCGTTCTTCTACGTGGGCTCGTATATCAACACCACATTCTGGGGCACCGGTACTCTCTATGCAACTATTGATATGCGTTTGAAAAGTAAATCTCATTTATTTTGTATCCCTTTTCCAGTGCCGACAGCGAAAGCAAAGTCCGATAATAATAGACGAAAAGTGAAATAAGTTTTGTTTTGATTTTTTGTTTTTGTTTTTCTTTGATATTTTGTTATATCGTTTTGAATTTGATTATTAGGTTATGGTTTTAGCTTTAATTTAATACTTATTGTTATACTCTTTGTTAACGAATTATGCATTTTTTAAATGTTAATTCAGTTCACAATTATCTACGATATACCGGTTTAAGAATTGACATAATATTTACTCAATTGCATATTTAATTAACTTTTAAATCGATTTTATGCAAAAAATACATTGAAATCACTTCCAATAAAATACTATAATTTTTTAATGACATTAAAACACAATTGCAACGAATATGTGATCAATAAACTTGAGATTAATATAACCAGATCTGAGAATATATTATTCACTCATTAATTCTGAACAATTTATGAACAATTACTGTACTCTTTTATTACCTCAATGTAATGCAAACATTTAATAAAATTGTTTTCATTAGTTTGTTAATTATTACTAAACTATATTTTCTTTTTTTCTCAACTACATGTTAATGAAATGACATTTTAAACGCTAAATGTCAAAACCACTCATTGTCTGACATATTTTCAAAGTTATCTGTAAATTGAGTCGCTTTTAGATTAGTTTAAAAATGATATGAGAGTAGTAGTAGTAGTAAAGTTGTAAGTGCAGTCAAATTAATGGAAAATAACAGTACATTTGTTAATAATAATTGCACCCCTATAACATTTTATTTTTAAAATTCTCATCTATTCAAGTACAAATTAGTACATTCTGTGTACTTGGAGTTACTTGAAATAGCAGACTTCCCTCTATGAATGCCTAAATACAATCCATTTCCTATAGCTTAATGACAAGCGAGTTACAGAATCTCTTATTACTGTATTATTATATTATTATTACTAATACACCAAAAACTAAATGTGTTGAAAACTAAAAAATTATAGTTTATAATGCCCAGTTTTCAAGTACTGTACTGTATTATAACCATTAATGTGATTCCAATAATTTAATAATTCATAAAAATTCTAATGTTTTTAAATAAAATACATGAAT